TTTTATTTTATTAACAGGCTTATTTCAAAGTGACTCAACACTCACTTGCCCTCTAGAAATCACCAGGTTTAAGTTACAGTAGGCCAATTCTTGACAGGCAACCTTTGAGACTGAAAATGATTAGTTTTGTTAAAATGGATGTGTACAGCTTTCTGATAAACACATCAATGAAGGAACAAAACATCTACATGCTATATCAATGTATCCATTGTTTTTGCGTTCACATGTTAAGTATTAATATCTATGTGCTATTTTGTTTTTGATCGAGGAGAGTGCTCTTCTGTTGAGTGGTGGGATAATATACATGATTTGGATATGTAAGTGCATTAAGAGCTACTGATAAAAGCATTTGGGTTATGATCATCGCTGTACCAAATATGGCTCAACTTGAAATATTTACTGTGGGTGAGAGTTTATAAACTTATTTTGGTGCAAGTGGACAGACTTTATGAACACTTCCATTTTATGACTATGGATACTAGTAAAAGAAATCCGTACAGTCGTTTTTTTCTGTAGATTAACAACCTGCTTCCCACCAGGTGCTAAGTGAATGGCCTGAAATACCTGTTACCTGTGTGTTGTATTTGGAAATGTTGATGCTGGTATTGAGAAGCTGTTTGTTAGGTAACACGGCGTATATGGAACATGCAGTCTTTGTCTTTCATAGCACCCTGTTCTCTGTTACAAGGGCAGGTCTGTTTGTACTGAAAGCAACGGTCTATTCTGCTTATTGACTTATATTTCATGACTTTTTTATTTATTTCTTCCATTCTAATTAAATGCTATAGAAAGAAAAATTAGATTTAAAAATTATTTTAGAACTGCCTGGGTACTGCTTGCTGGTAAATTTTTGTATGTGAAATGGCACCTTTTTGTACGTGAAATGGCACCTTTCCGTATGTGAAATGGCACCTTTTTAAACAAGCAAGCCTGAAACCCAAATGCCTCTCTGAAGCAGTGCCAGACAATGACAGGGGAGGTCTGTGGATGATGACTGTTGTGAACCGAGCATGTGAACCATGCGTTACCTCTGGCTGCCTTAGTCCTGAGCTGAACGCTGTACTTGGGCTTTTGACACGTGATCCTGGGTTGGGGCCTGCGGAGCTGCTCTCGGCAGCCTGGCGCCCAGTGCAGCGCTCCGGTTTCTGGGCACTGCAGCACGCTGGATCCCGGCTGGCAACCTGCATTCGTTCATGGAGTGTAACTGCACCAAGCCACCTAAAGGCGTGTATTGAATAAATGGCAGAACTGAAAAGGCGATGCGTTAGGGCCCCCGCCAGCTCCCTGCAGGGCCAGCGGGGCGAGATGCCCACTTCAGCGGAGCTGCGAAGGCTGCGTGATGGGATCCAGGCAGCACACCCACAGCTGCACTTCATGCCTGGAGCTGGGCACTGTGGAGCTGCCTGCTGCTCCCCAGCCAAGGCCTGAAGCCCTTCCAGCCACTCAGCCCGGATCAGCTGCTGAGGCAGCCGCCTCCGTGAAGCCGGGCTGGTTTCTGTCACCTTCAGTGCAAAGGCCCTATCACCCTGGCCGGAGCCTGGCACGCAGCAAGGAGGAGAGCCCTACCGAGGAAATGAGATGGCACCTCAGCTGACACGGTGTAAAGGCTCTCTACTCGAGGAATTAAATACTCCAGCCACTGCCTGATCTATTAGGCATCAGAATCCCTTGCGAGGGGAGAAGGGAAATTGTTACAGCAATACGCCTGCTGTAGTGGCTGCTCCTTATTTGTCTTGGTTGAATGATGCGATCTCAGCTACTCAACCAGCACGCAGGACATGGTTTTTATTTTAAGAAAGACTTGGTTATTTTTGTTGTATTTAATGCCTTGTGTATTTTTTCCCTCTCATTTCCATTTAATAAATAAAATCTGTCCTATGTGAAATCACTGACATGTTTATTTAAATTCAGGTTCTTTTTCAGGGCAGAATTTGACAGACCGTATAAAATATAAAACATTCTGATCTTTTTTTCCCCCCTAAGAAATGCAGTTCTTTCCTCCTTCTTCTGCTCCCACTTTTGTATTTCAAATTGTTTCTCAGAGTGGTTTGAAAAACTTGGGAATTTGAATAATTACAAAAGGATCAGATAAAATACCAGTTAAGGAAGAGAAGGTTCAACCACTGTTGAAAGCTGTTGGTTCTTTCCTACTCAGATGTCTCCCGCATGCACTCTCACCTATGAACCCCATTACTGACCTTTCAGTAGGCACAGGACTGTAGGCATATTCATTTGCACCTTTTTTCTTGGCTTTGAGTTTTTGTTGCTATTTACAGAAATGCAAAAGTGGTGACTGGAGCTATTTTTAAATGTTTAATGTCTCAAAGGCTACCCACTTTTGTTACTTTAGCCACATGAATTGTCTTTGGAGGTTTAAAAACTGCAATAATTACCTGACTTGTACATATACGGATGTGTGCGAGGCGCAGACTATAGAAACAAGAGTGGATTCAGCCTTTACAACTCGCTAGCCTGTGCACTGTCCGCAGGCCTCAAAAAGCAGGGAAAGCCCCAAAAAGCCTTGACAGGAATGGAGACGATTCCTAATGTCTTCCCTGTGCCGCTGCAGACTCTCACTCCACTACAGACTATTTCGGTGGGAGTTGCACTCAGGGGCAGCAACCACTGCTGTTTAATATTTTTTCTCCAGTAGGTTTGTGGGAACAATCTTTGGGCCTGACGACTCATTAACGGCGATGTTAAATAACTGAAGTGAGGTGACTGTGCTGAGCCCAGTCTCTACCCTTTGCCACTGATGACCTGACTCGTTCCTAATTTGGAATTACTATGGTATGTAAATATTTTGTCAGCCTCCTGTATTTTGAAGTGCTTGCCCAGTGTTCTCTCTGCTGGAGCCCACCTGGCCTTCGAGCCTGATTACTGTCACGGTGTGGTGGGTAAAGACACGGCACAGCCACCACTGCACAGCAGAGCCACCACCGCATGGCACAGCCACCACCGCATGGTACAAGCCACCACCGCACGGCACAGCCACTACCCTGCTTCACAGCCTGCGCTGAAGCAGCTCTGCGCATGGAGACCACCGTTACCACTGCTGATCTGACCCTGGGTATGTGTTCTGTGAATCCAGCCCCCCGCGCTATCCCAAAATTCTTCAGACATTCTGGGTACACACCCAAAACCCAGCTTTCTGTGGAGCACGCAGCTACTCTGCCCACCTTCATTGCAGGCTGAGATCCTCACGTCGCTTTCCGTTGCGCAGCAGAGTTCCCCCCCGCAGCAGTATCCGAACATGCTCAGTAAAAGCTTTTCCATTCTTGTGCCACCCAGCCAGGACTGCTGCGATCGGAGTGCTTTGCTCAGTTCCTTTCCTCTGCTGACGTACCGCGTGCATGTGTTCAGATTCTTCACCCGGGAGCCAGTGGCGCGGGCCTCTCCGCATTGACATTACCAAACGAGGCTGCAGCCACAGAACACCAAAGTCACCTGTGGTACATGGATTTATTTCTTACTCTGCCAAAGGGAAACATGAAGGACATCATAGTGAAGTCTGCACCTTCCACACACTGTATAGAATACACTTGTATTGTGCATTCACCTTGAAAAAAACAATGATGAAGATAAACCTGTAAGACACAGCCACTGCTGTGTTGAGGAAGGCTGAACAGCCCTTAAAGTGATAGTCTGGGGCAGAAAGGGTGTGTAGCATCCACGAAAAAACAGTTTTCTTCTCAGAAATGGGTTTTAGCTATTTTTGGGTTTACTTTTTTTAGCTTACCAACCAGAGGGGACATACATCATAAACTACGTGAACAGAACCATCGCTGAGATGACTGCTAATATTAATGGGGGCCTCTGTTTCTCATGATGGACCGATTCTCTGGAATATAAATAACTGTTAGCTTACATTAAACTGAAATGTAAAAAAAAAAAAAAAGCTTACTGCTGCAAAGATATTCAGAATCTCAAAGTAAGTCTGCTACCACAATTTTGGTTCAGATCACTTGCACATTATCAAATAGTCTCCATGTACAGAATCATACCACTTTTAACCCACCACAGACTCAGGTACTGGATAAATTATACACAGAGTGGCCGATTCTGAACGGATCTCTTCAATATTTCTCACGGAACAGGTATGGCAAGCGAGGCTCGAGGACAGCCTGCTCATGCAGCACAGTACAGCGCTGCAATCTGTGAGCGACAGAGCTTCCCAGCCAAGCAGCTGTAATGATTTACCTACACTGGACCTTTGCCTTAACCTTGTTGCTGGAAGAGTTTGATGTGAAACACTCCTTAGAAAGAAAGGGTCAGCATTACTCTTACAGAAAATTTTAACCCAGATGGCTAATGTTTGCCAAAGTTCTGATGCACAACATAAAAATCTAGTCTCAAAAGGGAAAGTCATAATAATCTTTACTGGAGATTGTACTTGGAACACGTGCTGAGAGAGAGAAGCTGCTTTAGAGAGCCTTCTGCTTATTCAGAACTTAGGGACACATTCGTGCGGTACAAAACTACCCCTCCTGTCTTAAAAACTAATGTGTGAGTGAACTTTAGTTTAAAGGAATAAACAACATGCTCAAAAAATAGGTCTGGTTACTTCTCACTAAATGAGGGAAGAAAAAAAAAAGGCTTCACCAGTATCATGTTTTGATTTTTTTAATGACTAAGTGTAACAAAGCCAAGCAACCATGAACAAGATAGGTACACATACATTGAATAACTTCAGATGTGTTAGTCTATAACTAATTTGTGTGACTTGACCTCAATACTTGTTCCCTCCTTACTCTTCCTCCCCCTCTCACATGAAACATTCATACACAGTGCAGTTCTGAGCCACTGCTCAAAGTCAGTAGAAATATTTTCTTTACCTTCTGTCAGAAACGTATTAGGCCAGGCAATGAAATAAAAGACTTTCTGGCCTCTGTTTTAACTTCCTGTACCTCAGTGTTTGCTTTCATTGACCAGACTAGTGTTTTTTTTTACTAGCAGGAATCCTCTGAGAGTTCACGTTTTTCCTTTTGACATGACTGCTTATTTCAAAGGCTGTTACTTGATTCAGATGTAAGATTTACATGATCCAAGATACGGAACTTAAATTTATAATCTAAACATTTAATTTGATAGTGCAAATACAAAACTGGCAATTAAGTGGACCAAAAAAAAAACTTCTTACAGGACAACCCTGTTCAATCCTTACGAGTTCAGAATGACTCCTTGGTAAATCCTGTTCAAAAAACACATTATCTGTTTTGTGTTAATAGATTGATCCCATGAAGCAGAACAGATTTTATAATTCATTGTGTTGAAGACCTTGAGAGATTCTGCTGGATAAGTCTTGCAAGTGCTTCTTTACCTAGCAGGAAAACAAAACACATCAAGCAAATTTTAGCAAGACAATGAATTATCAATACCATATATTCAGGTTTTGCTATCAGTATATGTGACAACAGGAAGAG